TGGTATGTGTTTGCAGTACACAAGCCACGGTTAAGACAGCTGACTCCACTGTGATGTGGCTCGCTCGCTCTCTCTCTCTCTCGCACACACACACACACACACACACACACACACACACACACACACACACGATGCGCAAAACTCCGCATTTGAACAGTCAATAGCAAATATTTAAACTAATAACAAAACAGTAGCTGATTCAGAAGTGCCAGATTGTCATAGCAAAGTCAGAATTACCTCCTCTCCTAGGTTCACGAAACGGTCGTCCATAAAATGCATTGCTGTTCTGTTGTAAGTAATCTTAAAGATTCCTAAATGCATCTACTTTCGGAAGGGCAAATAAAGTGCTTTTGCTTTCGCCTAGAAACACACAGCGTCTCCCTGACATGCTGCTTCAACACTAACTGCGGTTACTGAAACCATGCCTTCTTTCTTTGCGTGCACATTTGGGCGCATTATGCTAATATTTCCACATAGTGAGGTAGATATGTGGGGGCGTGTTAGAACAAGCCGTTTTAGGGGGGCGTGGCAGAGTCTCAACTTTGATAAATAATATCTCTTTGGTTTTGAGACTTTAGTCTTTGCAACTTCAGGGATCTTATCTATGCACAATCAGCTTGTAACACTCCAAAGAGAAAGGAAAACTCGAAATCGCATCATATGACCCCTTTATTATTTTAGAGCTACATTATTGTTTTACATTAGTGCATTAGTGTTATGGATGGGGTAGGGCTATGCTTGCCTCACAGGAATATTGTTCCAGGGCCAAAACATCTGTCCTTCTAGTCAAAATATGGTCACCTGTCAAGCTGTTAGGGCTCTATGGCATTACAGTTTAAAGGGATAGTTCACCCAAAAATGAAAATTAGCCCATTATTTACTCACCCCCAAGCCATCCTAGGCATATATGACTTCCTTCTTTCAGATGAATCCAATCGGATTTATATAAAAAATTTACTTTGATCTTCCAAGCTGTTTAATGGCAGTCAGCGGGTGTTACAGTTCATCAGTCCAAAAGAAGTGAAATAAAGCACATTCATCCATAATAAAAAGTGCCTCACACGGTTTCGGGGGGTGAACAAAGGCCTCCTGTGATCAATGTGTTTTTGTAAGAAAAATATCCATATTCAAAACGTAATAATAACTTTAATGTAGCTTGCGCCAACAGTTGTACACGGGAGCAGCAGTCTCGTGAAAACCAACATTTGTTTACAGGAGCAAAGGAAGCAAAGTTTCCTTACTTTAGCAAAGGAAAACCAGTCTCAGTCTCAGTTTCCAGTCTACAAAAATGGATGCACTTTATTTCACTTCTTTTGGACTGATGCACTCCAACATCCGCTTACTGTCATTAAACAGCTTGAAAGATCAAAGACCATTTTTAATATAACTCCGACTGGATTTGTATGAAAGTCATATACACCTAGGATGCCTTGAGGGTGAGTAATTCATGAGCTAATTTTAATTTTTGGGTGAACTAACCCTTTAATATCACAACAGATCATCAAAATGCACTTTTTTCAAACATTTCAGCATATTTTCAAATATGTTAGTAAAATAAACTACAGTAATTGCCGTTAAGAGTCAGAATAAAACAATACTGAAAAATCCCAATTACTGATTTTTTGTTTTGTTTTTTTACCTGGTGATCACAAATGGATAGCTTATTCGTACAAATTTCTGTGAGCATTTGCAATATGCAAACATGGAGAAGGATAGACTGGAAGACCTGTTGCGGATCAAAGAGGTAGACGTGGATCCAGCTAAACAGGTAGGCGTGGGCCTCAACAAAGAAGTGGTCATCAGAGAAACATAGGCAGAAGACAGCGTACTGTTATTTCAAATGAAGTCCAGGCCATATTTTAGCCTGGACAACTTGGGGGAATCATCTCAATGTGTGCAGCTATATGTGAAGACAGTGTGGTAGTCTGTAGACCATTTCTTGGATGCAGCACTGAACACCCGATAGCTTTTCTGGAAGAATTTGAACAGGCCTGTCACAGTGAAGACATCAGTTGTGTTATTGTGTGGGAAAATCAACCATTTTGGAGTGGTTTCAGGCTTATCCTTGGTTCATGTTCCTATATCTCCCACCATATTCCCCTTTCCTCAACCCAAACTCTTTGCTGCTTGGAGGTGAAAGGTGTACGATCACCATCCCCATAAACATGCCACGCCATACAATGACATAACATAACTGCACAGCAATGTCAAGCCTGGACCCATCATGCCAGAATGTTTTTATCATGGTGCTTGAACAAAGAAGATATTCACTGTGATCTTGATGAAAATGTATGGCCAAATGTGTAGGACAGGCTTGATGTCAATTCATTTGAGATTCCCTATTTAGAGTAAAGTGTTTACATTTATTTGTTGACAATGCAACCACTCGTTGTAGAAATACTGTAAAATAAAATATTTTCCTGTATACTTTTTATGTGTTCTTTCAAGATAATTTACTTATATAAATATATTTTATTATGGCTTTTGTATGTGTAATCTCTATTCTGATATGACTGTGTCTACAGCAACAGGTAATTTCAAACTGAATATGCAAAACAAAGACTTTTAAAAACTTACCACTTACTTTTGAAAATAGTACCACAGTAATTTAAAATCTGTAAATGCAATCAACAAATAGGATTCTCACATATACATCTTTCTTATCCAAGAATGTACATCTGCTAGCTGGGTGTACATTATGTCATGATCTTTCGTTTACCTGTGTTGTCTCTTTACTTTCAATCAATAACAAATAACAATTTTCTTCTACTTTTGTTAAAGGTGCACGAAGCGATTTTTGCCAAACGATATTGATATTTGAAAGCACCAAAACAAACACTCCCATACCCCAACAGGAACTCCCCCCTATTTTCCTAACTCCGCCCCACACGTTCGTAAACAACCCTGGCAACGACAATGGCAAAATCTGCTATGACTGCCGGCCGCAGCATATTCAAGCAAAAGCCAACACAGAAAAGTTGTGTGAAAAAGCAAAATCAACGTAACTCGCCTATCAAGAAGAAACAAAGCAACCTCTGCTTCCGATTCACTTCCGCTCCTTGAGTTTCTCCACCGCTGGAAAGCTGCTCCAATATTTACGTGGGTCCAACCTCTTGCCTGATCGTAACCCTTCTTTTTAATGTTTTGTTCCTCTGAAATTTAATTTGCCGTCTCTCTCTATCTATAGTCGATGCTAATATCCATCCCTCTCTTCTTCCTATCATTACTAGACATGCCCCTTGCTGCAAGTGTGTTTTGGGACTCGGTCCGACACTGTGGTAAAAAGCGTTTTTCAAAAATCGCTTAGTGCATCTTTAATATGTATGTATTTCAATATGTTACAACCACAATCTCTTTGCAAGGCAGTTCAGCAGTATACAGACCAATAGATCAGATTGAAGAATATAAAGGCCCCTGGAAAGATAATGCGAGAGTAGGCATCAATGACGTGAGTGTTTTGGATGATACGTAGGCCTCGAAGGGTCTTCCTCTTGGCTCCTGTGGCCTCATTTGCCAAAGACAGGCACACCACCATGTGGTCCTGTTTATCTGCAGCCTCCTCAGTGGAGACAGGGGCCTGGGTATATCCTGCCAGGCTATTGGCATCAGGCTTACTGTACGCTTCATCCAGAATCATAGTCCTTGCGTGGGATATGTCACATGTCCAGGGTAAAGGCTAAAATGGAAAAACACAAACACTTCCATATCCATTTAAAGAACTTTTAACTTGCCTCCATGTTGTGAAAATTACCTTTACATGCATTACAAAATTTAAATATTGGCTTCACAAAATCCTCCTAAAAACTTTACGTCATAGGGAAGTAAGGAAATTTCAACATTCACAGGGGCTAGTCTGTGATATTATTGCCGCCCGAATCCAGAATGTTGGTGTTTTTCTCCTACGTACCACCCATGTAAAAATTCCCCAAAACATCAAGGCCATGTTAACTGCTATCTATTAATTCACAAGTATGTTATTTTGCAATTATTGTTTGACCACTGCCAAGCACCGTAATGTGCTTCACAGTAACGTGGATGCATTTTAAAAATACTTTTATTTCTGAAATGCTGGAGTCCGTTTACAAGAATAATAGCCCATTACATTACTGTTCAAATACAGCTGTTAAATTGTAAAACCTTTTTATAAATTAGGGTTTGTGTGACTGATTATTTTACTACTCCAAGTAGCCAGGTCAAATGTGTCAAATTTCCAAATTTTTAAAATTGCATCCATATTCTGAAGGTATAAATCTAATTTAAACCACAGTGTGCCAATTTTCCCATTAATAAATGTAAATTTGTTAGACACCTTATAAAAACAATAGCTTAAATACCACAAACTGTACAAAAAGTATGTTTTGTCAAGCTCATATAATGAAGGTGCATAAAGGCAAGTGATAGTGAAAATTACTGTTAGCAAAAAAAGGAGATTATTCGAATGTACTTGAAAATCAGTTGTGCATTTACCTTCTCCTTTGATTTGCGATCTGTCCCATCATGCACTGTGGTCAGGTAGTTTATGGCAGCATACTCAATTACCGATAAAAAGACAAAGACGAAGCTGACCCACAGGTAAATGTCCACGGCTTTGATGTAGGAGACTCTGGGCATGGAGGCGTTCACTCCAGTGATGATGGTGGACATGGTGAGCACCGTCGTGATGCCTACAAGAAATGACAGTGACATTTTGCTAAGAATACTGTAAGGGTTTTGACGGTTGTTTTTTTTTTCCTTCAGTTTGTCTCTATTTCATCTTCACACCAACTATGCACTAGTGTAACACAGGGCAGAAACAAAAAAAAGTTTTGTATTTTAATCCAATTTTGTGTAAAATGTCTTAAAAACATTACTTTTTGATTGGACTATATTTGCAAAAAAAATTTGAAAGCAATTTTTAAAAGTTTGCATTTTCAGGCTCCCAAAACACAGTTGTTATGTAAATGAATAGCTAAAATACATCATTCTTTCCCGGTTTTAATTGAAAATGGTGTCTTATAGATGCCCCCAAAGTGTTAAGAAAGAGATTTTATAAGTGTTAAGAAAGAGAACTATTGGTCTGTATCCCTAAATGTTCAATAGTGTTGAAGTATTTTCTGTTTTTTTAAATGCACTGGGTCTATCTTTCTTTCTTTAATGTGTGCACAGCAGTGGCAAGTTACATAATCAGATGACTTTTTCAAGTAGGGTAGAGTGGAGGAAAACGCCCCCTATTGTTTTTTCCCAAAATAACCACTAGATAAAGTCCAGATACATTTTTGTTGTAACTATGGACTACATGGACAAGAGTGATGTATAAGTATCCACCATGAAGCTCACACTGGTGATGTACCTGAGAAGTAAGTGATCTCATTTTCAGCAGAAAGAAAAAGTTTTAAAGCTTGTTGTTTTGTAGAACATCACAGTTACAGTATATATTATATGAGAATAGTAAGCCCTGTCGATAGGTAGTATGTGTTATTTAAGAAAAAATATAATTATATTTTCAGAATGACAATGTTTTTTTTTTTTTCAAACATAGTCAGGGGGGTAAAACGCCCCCAGGGTGCCTGGCTTAATTACTAGTTACTCTGTTCTGAACATCAAATCCTTTGTTTTTCCATCAAATGATGAATAAAAATATTTCGACTTTATATTTAAAAATTACCTTAAGTTAGCATCAGGTAGCTAGTTAGCATCAGCTAACAACATTTTTCAAATCGGCTATTATAATTTTGTAATTCATAATTAATTATTAATTATATTCTTTTTAATTTCTGGCTAAAACTGCCTGTACTCTGATTTTGCTGTAAATGTATAAAGCAAATTGCTTTGTCAGACTGGGGGCATTTTACATCACCTGTGGGGCAAAACTCCCTCTTGGTACTAATTTAATTTTTGTTGAAAATCTAATAACATGAAAACTTATGACATTTTTCATATGTGTTTATAATTTATGTCATTGTCACTAAAATATGATAATTTTTCAACTCTACCCTAATAATTAAAGTAACACATTACTTTTAAATTTACTAGAAAATATCTATGTTACTTTTTCAAATAAGGAACACAAGTTACTTTGTTTTCCCATTTATTGACTGAGAGCTCTCCTGTTCCCTCTCATGTTGAGAGAAATTGGGAGTAAGTGCAGCAGCACTTTCTTCAGGTTGAGGCTTATTAATTTCACTTTTGGTGTGAAAGTGTCTTTACAGTTTCCAAAAACATAACTTTTTTGTTCTTAAAAATAAGTCCAGTTCAGGTGACAAAAAGTAACACAAAAGTAACAATGCATTACTTTGAAAAATTAACTTTGACTTTTTCCCCAACACTGGTGCACTGCAGAATTTTTATTGTAGTGGCAATTGATTTAACTTGCAATGGCTGTAACAGGTATTGATGCAACGGCAATCTATTGCAGTTATTTGTCAGACCTATTCCTTGTTTTGTGTGTGTTTTGCTCCCCTTGCCCTTATTTGGTCCTTCCGGTTCCTGTCCCCATTTAGTTCTATGTGTTCCAGGTGTTCCTTGTTAGTAGTTATCCTCCTCACCTGTCTGCCCCTTGTTATCTGCCCTACTTGAGTCCTAGCCCATTCTGTTGTCCTTTGTCCGGAATTGTATACATCTACCCTTGCTATGTGTGTTTTCCTTGTTCCCTGGATGTGATTAAAACCTATATGTTTGAATGCCACTCCTCGTCTCCTCGCTCCTCCGTGCTCCTCAAAGTAGTGAAACGGGACATTATTATATTTGTCCACTGTTAACATTGTTTAAAATTATTCATTAAATGTGTAAAATCACCTACACAAGTCTTGAGTTTTCAGAAAGCGGTCATTTCTCAATTTACTAGGATCTCAAACTAAGTACAGTGGGTATAGAAAAAAAAAATCACCCCACTTTAAAAAAAAAAACATTTTGTAAATGAAGACGGCCACAGTTTTTGTTTTATCCAGTTGCATTTACTCAGTGCAACTTATAACATCCAAGTGAAAGATAGAACACCAACATGTCATAAAAAAATAAAGTTGGAAAAAGGATCATGCTCTTGTGTCAGTATTTTGTTGAAGCACCTTTTGCTTTAATTACAGCCTTTAGTCTGTTAGGATTTGTCTCTACTAACTTTGCACATCTAGACTTTGGAATATTTGCCCGAATATTTATCCGGATTGTGAGCGGTATTGGATTTCAGCCAGACATATTGTTTGGTGTTAATAAGGCCAAATAATTCAATTTTAGTCTCATCTGCTTCAGAATCTTCAAGGTGTGTTTTGGCAAAGCTCGGTCGTGACTGCATGTGGCCTTTCTTGAGGAGTGGCTTTTTTCTTGCAACCCTCTCATACAAGCCACATTTGTGGAGAATTAGTGATATTGTTGTCACATGCACACAATGACCACTCTTTGTCATAAACTCCTGCAACTAAATACCTGATCCAGGGAGGGTCTGTGTTGTACCAAATACCGTCCACTTCTTAATAACAGACTTCACTGTGCTTCTAGGCATTGATAAAGGCTTTTAAAAAAAATGTATCCATCTCCTGACTTGTGCCTGTCCACAACTTTATCCGGAGATCTTTTGCCACCGATAGTTGATTGTTTTCGTCAGTTGCACTACTAAGGACTGAAATGCTCCAGGAAAGCTCTTTTCATGCTGAGCGGATCAAAATGAGCACAGCTGATCACAGATGAAAGTCAAATGGCTTTGTGTGCCATTGAGAAGATGATTAGTTACACCTGATTTGAGTTTACAAGTCATCTTTATGGGGTGATCCTTTTTCCAACTCAGTATTCTGGTTTATAATTTTTTTTTGACATGTTGGTGTTATATCTTTCACTTGAATGTTATAAGTTGCACTGAGTAAATACAGCTGGATAAAACAAAAACTGTGTCCATCTTCATTTCAGGCTGCAAAGCAACAAAATGTGATTATTTTATAGGCGTGATTCTTTTCAATACACACTGTAGTTTTCAACCTTGATTTAAAAATAGAACAATAACAAATACTCTTTTCACACAGTCCCCTACATTAGTGTAGTCGCATTGTTTTGTTTGGCAGCCTCAATATATTGGATATTCTTGATCTTAAATCTATGTAAGAAAGATATAAGAAACTGCTTATATCAACAATGGTTGTGAAATCCTGGACATATTTAAGCATTCAGCCAAACAATCCCACTGGTTTCCCCAATGAATTCACCTAACGAGACTCGTGCAGGAACAGCTCGACAGTCGATCCAGAAGGACACCCATGACAACATGACCATCAGAGTGGCGGGAAAGTACGTCTGAAGCAGGAAGAAGAAGATATGACGACGCAGACTGAAGTTGATGTAAAGACGATTGTACCAACCTGCAGGAGATATGAAATGAGAACAGGTTCTAGTAAAAGAAAATGCAGTTTTCTGATTCTGAAATCTGAGCAAGGATTGAACTTAAATATAGTTTCTTAAGGGTACTCTTGAGCACCCAAGTCTTAATAAAAAATTAATAAACCTAAAAAATGCCTTTAAACTCTGTTCTCTTTTTTGTTCTTCTTGTCTCTTCATGCTTGATAACAGCAGGTGTCGTCACAAACGGACAATAATCACATGTAGAGTGAACTTGTTTTATTAATTAACAGCAACACTACTTTAGTGTTACTTCTACTCTCTGTAGAGAAGAAACATATAAACACTGAACTATATTGATTTATCACTGATGATTTTGCTGTGTACTGAACATAATCACATTACCATAATCGCTGCATTCTGTTTCCATGAGCTTCAATTTAATGACTGCCTCAAACGCATAATGCGTGCATATAAAATGCATACAAAAAGAAGCCACTCATGACAAAGTCCAAAGTTGCTCAAATCAGATGCCAAATAAACTGATTTAGCCCTTTATATCTGACACTTTTATACATAGTATCTGGAAATTGTAAACTACATAAACGGTACACTTGTAAATAACATACCTGTACGTTCATTTAAACAATTATATGGTTTTTTTCTATATATTTCTATTTCTGTATATAGTGCATTATTTATTTTTCTTTTTTTCTTATATTAGTGTTATTTCATCATCTGTGATTCTATGCATGTCTGCACTATCATGTATGTTTGCACTATGTATGTACTTTCTTCTGCACTGGAAGCTCCTGTTGCCAAGTCTAGTTGATTGTTTTCGTCAGTTGCACTACTAAGGACTGAAATGCTCCAGGAAAGCTCTTTTCATGCTGAGCGGATCAAAATGAGCACAGCTGATCACAGATGAAAGTCAAATGGCTTTGTGTGCCATTGAGAAGATGATTAGTTACACCTGATTTGAGTTTACAAGTCATCTTTATGGGGTGATCCTTTTTCCAACTCAGTATTCTGGTTTATAATTTTTTTTTGACATGTTGGTGTTATATCTTTCACTTGAATGTTATAAGTTGCACTGAGTAAATACAGCTGGATAAAACAAAAACTGTGTCCATCTTCATTTCAGGCTGCAAAGCAACAAAATGTGATTATTTTATAGGCGTGATTCTTTTCAATACACACTGTAGTTTTCAACCTTGATTTAAAAATAGAACAATAACAAATACTCTTTTCACACAGTCCCCTACATTAGTGTAGTCGCATTGTTTTGTTTGGCAGCCTCAATATATTGGATATTCTTGATCTTAAATCTATGTAAGAAAGATATAAGAAACTGCTTATATCAACAATGGTTGTGAAATCCTGGACATATTTAAGCATTCAGCCAAACAATCCCACTGGTTTCCCCAATGAATTCACCTAACGAGACTCGTGCAGGAACAGCTCGACAGTCGATCCAGAAGGACACCCATGACAACATGACCATCAGAGTGGCGGGAAAGTACGTCTGAAGCAGGAAGAAGAAGATATGACGACGCAGACTGAAGTTGATGTAAAGACGATTGTACCAACCTGCAGGAGATATGAAATGAGAACAGGTTCTAGTAAAAGAAAATGCAGTTTTCTGATTCTGAAATCTGAGCAAGGATTGAACTTAAATATAGTTTCTTAAGGGTACTCTTGAGCACCCAAGTCTTAATAAAAAATGAATAAACCTAAAAAATGCCTTTAAACTCTGTTCTCTTTTTTGTTCTTCTTGTCTCTTCATGCTTGATAACAGCAGGTGTCGTCACAAACGGACAATAATCACATGTAGAGTGAACTTGTTTTATTAATTAACAGCAACACTACTTTAGTGTTACTTCTACTCTCTGTAGAGAAGAAACATATAAACACTGAACTATATTGATTTATCACTGATGATTTTGCTGTGTACTGAACATAATCACATTACCATAATCGCTGCATTCTGTTTCCATGAGCTTCAATTTAATGACTGCCTCAAACGCATAATGCGTGCATATAAAATGCATACAAAAAGAAGCCACTCATGACAAAGTCCAAAGTTGCTCAAATCAGATGCCAAATAAACTGATTTAGCCCTTTATATCTGACACTTTTATACATAGTATCTGGAAATTGTAAACTACATAAACGGTACACTTGTAAATAACATACCTGTACGTTCATTTAAACAATTATATGGTTTTTTTCTATATATTTCTATTTCTGTATATAGTGCATTATTTATTTTTCTTTTTTTCTTATATTAGTGTTATTTCATCATCTGTGATTCTATGCATGTCTGCACTATCATGTATGTTTGCACTATGTATGTACTTTCTTCTGCACTGGAAGCTCCTGTTGCCAAGTCAAATTGTACTTGTTACAAAGTGTAAATATACTTGGTAATAAAGCTCCTTCTGATTCTTTATATGCATGCACAAAAAATAAAAAAAATGAAAAGATGTCTGGCACGTCATGCACTAGTAGACAGCCTGTATCTTCTGAAACTGAAAGAGAACTGCCTAGTTTACTATTTAAAATTAGGCATGTGCACCTGTGCTGCTGTAGAAGGCCAATCTGGAGGTGGTGTGAAACTTCTGAATGAGAAACTGAGACAGCGAGATCTTGTCATCTGTGCTATTAAAGGGCTTGCATGTGACAAATCCTGAGATAAACACTTTATGAAAAAACTTTATGAAGTATGTGCAGCAACCACTTTCATTGTGGCTGAATATGTGCAAATGTCCATATTCAATAATTGAATATCTGTCACCTTAAATTCTACATGCATGCACTGTTAAAATTTTTAGTGTGAAATGACAGTGTATTCCAGGTTAATAATTGCATTACTTACACAGTAATTTCACAGTGGGACTTCTCTTGTCTCTAACTGCACTCTCAGAAATTTCTTGTGAACAAACAGCATTATACTGTGTTTCTACAGTGCAGATGTACTCTGAAGGCACCCATCATGCAATGCAGCATGAATAGATCATGCTGTAGAGTTTTTAATTCTTGGTTTTATTTCTGCTATAACTTGTTTTTGGTTCACTTTTTGCAGTTTGGGTTGCTGGTTTATATTGTAAGTGTTGTTTTATTTGTTGAATGTTACCATTGTGTTTTGTATTTCAAGAATTGATGTCACATCTTTCAAAGATGTTTCTCAGCAGTTGCTTCAGTATTGTGAAAGATCCCTGCACAAACAGTTATGAATATGAAATCCGTTATTGATTCATCTTCATGCTTAAATAATGCTAAAATAAAAACTTCATGTTCATGCTATTTTGACTGTCTTAAAGTCAGGCAACTAGCTTATTTCATATTCTAGCTTATCATCATTTTGACAAATGTTTTCATTTGTCACCTTCTGACATGACTAGATCAGCAATTTGAATATGAATATGCAAGGTCGAAGAGCCCAAACAAATAGGATCACCAATCACCATTATGGTGACTTCAAAACAATTACAGTAGTAAACAACTAAATGTCTCACAGTGGCACAGTTAAAGACAACTTTATAATGTGAATTCACAGTAAAACAAGAGCAGTAAATTACTGTGATGTTAGCATCATTCTGCTGTTCATTCACAGGAAGTTTACAAGAAAATGGCCCAGCATGCATTGATTTCACAGCAAATTTCTGACTACAGTAATTTATTGTAAAATAATCCTCTTTGATCCTGTAAATTCCTGGTAATTGTTTAGATTGGTTTTGTTCATATTTGACTAGCCGACATGACAGTTGTCTTGTTACTAATACCATCTGATCATGTGATCTCAACCATAACAGAATATAGAATAAAACAGCATAGTGCAGCTTTAACAGTGCAGATACTGTTGATGTGGTTACAAAATAAATTTGCTTAGTCCAATTTAAACCTAATTTTTTTTTAAATTTTTTATGCAAGGTGTTGACATGCATCTTCAAACTGCCTAAAGCCTTGTGAAATATTATCAATCTGTTGGCATTACTGAGGGATGTCAGCACTTTTACAAGCCTTCAAACGGGATGGACTGATCCTGATTGGCTGATTCTCTGTGATGTCACTGCGTAAACCTCATGGATTATCCTCTAGCATATTATGTAAAATCACATCCATGCTCACTGGTAAACACCGGCACTGATATGCTAAATAAAAGCATGTCTAGACACATCTCCGATGCTTTCAGAAGGAAAGGTTAATCACTGATGCTGAGCTCCAAATATAATCCATGCAATCTTCCTGATATCATTTGGACTGCAAGTAGCCTACTTTAATGTTAAGAATCACATTCTCATTATGTTAATGGGAAAAAATCATACATTATTTCAATTTGTAAAGTATGCATGCATCACTTTTAATGTGCGGAGTTTAATTAATGCTGATTTTGATTTTAAAAGAAAGGGAGATTTTCTTTAATGTACAGTGTTTGGTTTTTTGGCATTAATGTTTGTTTGTTTGTTTGTTTGTTTGTTTGCTTAATGGCCATGACAACTATGCAAAGCTCATGCACAAAAAAAAATTCTTCATTTTCTTTATGTAAAATATAGTTGTTTTTGGAATGAAATATGCCTTACATTATAATAAACAATTTATAACAATCACTGACCAAATAATAAAACTTTTCTTACCATATCTACTTCGGAGATACTGTCCAAACTCTCTACCTGTACATCAACACCTACGGGTACTGCTGGACCTGAGCAGAAGAGAACAGTATTAGTTTCAAGTTGTTTTTTTTATAATGTGCAATTTCACATTTAAAGAGACTATTAAAAATCAGGAACTATTCACACACACACTGCATAAATGACAACATATCCATAGCACTCAAGTGGGGTTTACTACACTCTCAGAAAAGCTGTGATGAATTTTGATTTTTGTCTTCATTTTGGTTAAAGTTTTAGTACACAGTAAAATCCTGAGTGTTAAATTAACACTACTCGGAGCATATATGGTCCCACTCTAAAAGAGTCTTAAAGTAACACTGAAGCAGTGTTAAAGTTAATGAGATAATTATGTGATTAATTAAGTGCTGATTGAGCATTAGAAATGAACACCTGATGAACAACAGAACGCGTTGGTGAAACTCATGCATCTAGCAAGAACTTAATACACAAAATAGTCATATTGATTCAAGCATTTAACATTTATGAATGAATTAAATGTCAGTAGCCTAATGAACAATACTGTACAAATTATAGCGATCACGAGGTAGTTCATATTCTATCCCAAACGCGTACAGTAAAGCTTAGCCTACAACACCACATCAGTTATATTCAGGTCAATAGTGCCACCTGTTAGCGCAGTTTTGTAACTTAGAGAAAAACTTTTTTTATGTCGAGATCACGAGAAATTTAAGTCGTTATAACGAGAAAACAACTCTCGTTATGTCGATATAACGAAAAAATAATTAAGTTGTTATAACGAGAAAACAAAGTTCATATTCTATCCCAAACGCGTACAGTAAAGCTTAGCCTACAACACCACATCAGTTATATTCAGGTCAATAGTGCCACCTGTTAGCGCAGTTTTGTAACTTAGAGAAAAACTTTTTTTATGTCGAGATCACGAGAAAAAAAAAATATATATATATATATATATATTGAGACAATTAAGTCGTTATAACGAGAAAACAACTCTCGTTATGTCGATATAACGAGAAAATAAGTCATTATAACGAGAAAACAACTCTCGTTATGTCGATATAACGAGAAAATAAGTCGTTATAACGAGAAAACAAGGGGGGAAAAAAATAATGCATGGCCGCTTAGAACTTCCATACTTTTCAAAATAATATACCCGTTACATTCCCCCCTGCTAAACCCTGCCACTCCATTGACATCTCTCGCAGATTCATCGCTGAAACACAAAACAACATATTAGAAAAACATGACATTATAAATGAATAACTTTATATGTTATTACCCAAAGTTATAGAAAACTCTGAACTTTTATTTCACAACATAGTCACTTCTGTACTTCACAGGTAGGATACCCTTGTTTTGATACCCTACCTCTGTTTTGTCTCTCACACTGCGCCGGCATGTACGCGGTGTTACAGGTGATGGAAATGAACAGTGCCGAAGCTGATCTCGGTGTACTACCTTTGTAGGACCCCCCTTTTCTGGTTTGACCGTAAACACAGGTATGTCTAAGTGGTTTTGCTTTATCACTATGTATGGTTTGTCTTCCCATTTATCCTGAATTTTATTTCTACCGTGTTTGAGAATTGCGCAGTAGCACCCGATCTCCAGGCCTCACACGAGCTCATCCTCTTCTAGACCCTTTTCTCCAAGAACATCCATTGTTAAACATGCATCCCTTCCGAACATTAAATAGAATGGAGAATAACCAGTAGATGAATGGACGTGACTGTTGTTAAGCCATTACCAGCTCCAAAAGGTGAGTCTTCCAATCTCTCTTCTTCTCTGGAGGTAAGGTTCTTAACAAGTCATGCATGGTACGATTAAATCTCTCACATTGAGAGTTTTCCTGTGGATGGTATGGGCTTGTACGACTTTTTCATATACCATAGATCCTGCAAAGCTCTTTGATCACGTTGGCCTCAAAACATCTGCCCTGGTCAGAATGCAGGCGAGCCGGACAGCCATAATAAACAAACCAGTGCTTGAGCAGGGCCTTTGCCGTTGTATTTGCTGTCTGATTCCTGGTAGGAACAGCGACTGTAAATCTGGTAAACATATCAGTAAGAACGAGCACATTTTCACACCCCCCAGAAGACTGTTCAAGCTGCGTGTAATCCATGGCTAGGACCTCTAATGGAGCTGAAACATTACTGCATGTCATAGGGGCTCGAAGCCTGGGGAAAACATCTTTGGCAAGTGTACATCTCTTGCACTGCTTTATCCAGCATGGAACATCTGCAGACATGGTAAGCCAGTAATAACTTAGTCTCATTCGAGTTAATGTACTTCTCTCTCCAAAATGACCTCCGTGTTCATGTTGTCCCTCGTACACTACACGCTGTAGAGGCTCAGGAACAACCACCTGCCAGATCTCTTCCCCATCCCTAGGGTTCAGGATGCGTCTGAACAGCACTCCCTGACGCAACTTAAGATGGTCAAATTCCTTGGCAAGCTTCTTCAGTTTTGGCTCCATACAACTGTAATACATTCTACTCGGTCTCTTGTTCTCAGATACTGCTTTATAAATGGGGCCAATCACAGGATCATTCTTCTGCTGCTTTCCTATCTTGCTCCAGCTATATCCGTTTATTTCTCCTCTTATTAATGCTTGCACCGCAGCTTTACCTTCAGGTTCCTCTTTGTCAATCCTCTTGCCTGGTCACATGCATGCTCTCACCTCGTCAGCTCCTAGCCGGATGAAATCCTTTCCATCATCGTCCTCCTCTGGTTCCTCCCTTGAGGGGATCCTTGACAGCTCATCCGCATTCGTGTTGTGTTGGCCAGGTTTATAGCATACTCCAAAGTCGTACTCCGCCAGCTGCGCTACCCAGCGCTGCTCAACTGTGCCAAGATTAGCTGAGTAGAGGTACATAAGTTACATAAGGTATTCTCTAAATTTTTCTGTGATCGCCCACTTTAATGCAAGCAGCTCCAACTTTAATGCACTACAGTTTTTGTCATTCTTCTCTGAACCTCTTAGTCCTCTGCTTGCATATGCCACCACACGCTCAATCCCCTCCTACTTCTGGCTGAGGACCGCTCCCAGTCCGTGACGACTTCCATCAGTGGTAAGTCTAAAGGGCTCACTGAAGTCGGGATATGCCAGAATTGGTGGGGACATTAAACACCCTTTCAACTCGTCCAACGCGGTCTGGCATTCTTGGCTCCAAGTGACTGTTACTGGGGTCTTGCTTCTCTTTCCTTCACTTACCAGTGCATGTAGTGGTTTGGCAATTTGAGTGAACCTTGGGACAAATCTTCGGTAATAGCTCATAAAACCAAGCACTTGCCTGACTTCTCTCACATTTCTGGGAACTGGCCATGTGTCCAAAGCTTTAACTTTATCGTCATCCAGTTTTATGCCTTCTGCAGAGATCTGGTGCCCTAAGAACTTTACTTCTGGCCTTAGAAGGAATCACTTGCTTGGCTTTAACTTCAGACCATGTTGTCTTAGCCGGTTAAAGACAATTTCTAACCTCTCACAGTGGCCTTCAAAATCTCTGGAGAAGATAATGACATCATCCAGATAGACCAGAAGAATGTCGAAGGCCAAGTCACCCAGCATCACACCCATCAGGCGCTGAAAGGTGGCCGGAGCGTTGCACAACCTGAACGGCATCCTGGTCCACTCAAACAGCCCAAATGGGGTGGTGACGGCCGTCTTCTCCCTAGCTTTCTCACTCACAGCCACCTGGAAATACCCAGCAGTCAAACCCACGTTGCACAACCCGAACGGCATCCTGGTCCACTCAAACAGCCCAAATGGGGTGGTGACGGCTGTCTTCTCCCTATCTTTCTCACTCACAGCCACCACGAAATACCCAGCAGTCAAATCCAGTGTAGAGAACAGTTTGGGTTGCCCAACGCATCCAAGGACTCATCCACCCGTGGAAGCGGATAAGCGTCCTTATACGTCACTTGGTTCAGCTTTCAATAATCACAGCAGAAACGCACACTGCCATCTTTTTTCATTACGATAACTGCGGGTGATGCCCAGGGGCTGCTGCTCTCTTTGAGGATTCCCTGGGACACCAGGTTCTGGACATGCCTTTTGACTTCTTGAAATATCTGTGGTGGTAC